TTTTTGATGTATCTCCATACTGATTTCCATGGTGGTTGCACCAGTCTACACTCCCACCAACAATGGAGAAGGGTTCCTTTCTCCCCACAACCCCACCAGCATTTTTTATTGGTTGATTTCTTGATAGCAGCCATTCTTTCTCGGGTGAGGTGAAATCTCAGCATTGATTTATTCTTCATCTCTCGAATGACCAGTGATGTTGAACATTTTATATATATGTTTATTTGCCACTTTTACTTTGTCTGAGAAATGTCTGTTTATTTCAGATGCCCATTTTTGGATTGGGTCTTTAAATTTGGGAGTCTGATTTTTTTAAGTTCTTTGTATATTCTACATAGTAGTCCTTTCTCTGAGGTACTGCTGCTAAAAAACTTTTCCCAAATTGTAGATTGTCTCTTAGCTCTTCTGGTGGTTTCTCTTGCTGTGCAGAAGCTTTTTAATGAGAAGAGATCCCACATGTTGATTATTTGTGCCAGTTCCCATGCAACTGAGATTTTGTACATAAAATTTTTTCCTACTCCAATGTCTTCAAGAGTTCTACCTAACCTCTGTTCCAGCCGGTTCAGCATTTCTGTTTTAATATTTAACTATTTAATCCATTTTGATTTTAGTTTAGTGCATGGTGAGATATATAGGTCTAGTTTTAATCTTTGGCAAGTTGAAACCCACTTTTTCCAGAGCCATTTATTAAGGAAGCTATCTTTCCTCCAGTGAGGGCATTTGGCTCCTTTGTTGAAGATGAGGTGGCTCAGTGCGTATGTAGTTATTTCTGCATCTTCTAATCTGTTCCGCTGCCCCTCCGGTCTGTTTCTTTGTCAGTATCATGCTGGGTTTTTTCTTAGATTCTTTTATTGGTACATTTTAGGTATACAGTACATTTACATTTATCATTGGGTACTTGTCCCTTTACATGATATATCTTGGTTCTTATTTTTTCCCCATTTCCTGTCCTCCCTTCACCCTCTCCACCTGTGCCTATTTACAAAGACTCTGTTTCCATTTTTTCCTTTTCTCATAATTTTTAGTTTCCCTTCTTTCCTTTCCCCTAACCCTCCCACTTGCCCTACTCCTTTGGACCTTTTCTTCCTATTTTCCATTATCAATTATTCATTTTAATCATTATTTACACTTTCAGTTTCTCATCCCAGAGAAATTATTCGGTATTTACACATGTGTGTCCTATTTATTTCACTTAAGAGTTTGGCCTCAATATGCATTCATTTAGCTATAAATGTCTCCAGTTTCTTGTTCTTTATGGCTGAATTGTACTCCATTTCATTAAAAAAAACCCACATCTTCTTTATCCAGTTTCCAGTTGATGGGCACTTGGGCTGTTTCCGAGTTTTTGCTATTACAAACTGTGCCACTATAAACATGGGTGATCACATAGCATTGTGGTATGATTCTTTTAATTCTTTTGTGAAGATACTCAGCAGGGGAATAGCTGGGTCAAATTGGACCTCTAGTTCCAGTTCTTTGAGGTATCTCCATACTGATTTCCACAGTGGTTGCACCAGTCTTCACCTCAACCAACAATGGAGAAGGGTTCCTTTCTCTCCACAACCCTGCCAATATTTGTTATTCGTTGATTTCTTGATAGCAGTTATTCTTTGTGGGGTGAGGTGGAATCTCAGTGTTGTTTTCATCTGCATCTCTCAAATGACCAGTGATGTTGAACACTTTTTCATAAGTTTATTTGCTATTTCTACTTCTTTGTCTGAGAACGTCTGTTCATTTCAGATGCCCATTTTTGGATTGGGTCTTTAAATTTGGTGGGGGGTCTGATTTTTTTAAGTTCTTTGTGTATTCTGCATAGTAGTCCTTTCTCTGAGGCACTGCAACTAAAAAAAATTTCCCACACTGTAGGTTGTCTCTTAGCTCTGTTAGTGGTTTCTCTTGCAGTGCAGAAGCTTTTTAATAAGATGAGATCCCAGTTGTTGATTCTCTGTGCTAGTTCCCATGCTACTGAGGTTTTGTTCATAAAGTCTTTTCCTATGCCAATGTCTTCCAGAGTTCTACCTAACTTCCCTCAAGTTTAGTGTTTCTGTTTTAATATTTAGATCTTAATTCACTTCAATTTTAGTTTAGTTCATGTTGACAGATAGGGATCTAGTTTTAATCTTTGGCAAGTTGAAATTCAGTTTCTCCAACACCATTTATTAAACAGGCTATTTTTCCTCCAGTGAGGATGATTGGCTCCTTTGTCAAAGATGAGGTAGCTAAGCATATCTGGAGTTCTTTCGGCATCTTCTAATCTATTCCACTGATCCTCAGATCTCTTTGCCAGTACCACGTTGTCACAGTGGCTTTGTACCATGTACCACAGTGCCAGTACCATGCTATCACAGTAGCTTTGTAGTATAATTTCAAGTTGGGGATTGTGATACCCCCTGCCTAGAATTCTTTTGCTAGTCCTGATCTCTTCTGGTTCCAAATGAATTTTTGGATTATTTTCTCTAGTTCTGTGAAATATACTGTTGGGATTTCAATTGGGATTGCATACAATCTGTATAGCAGCTTTGGAAGTATGGCCATCTTCACTTTATTGGTTCTTCCTACCCAGGAACAAGGGATGTCTTTCCATTTTCTTATATCCTCTTCGATCTTTTTTTTTCAGAGTGCTATAGTTCTCAATGTAGAGGTCTTTTCCTTCCTTCATTAGATTGATTCCTAGATATTTCATTTTTTGCATGCTATTGTGAAAGGAATTGTTTTCCTAATTTCTCTCTCAGTGAGTCTGTTGTGTACAACAAGAGTATTGATTTTTGAGTGTTGACCTTGTATCTGATTATAAGATTTTTGGCAACACTGATGGTCTCTACCAACTAGAAGTCAGTTGAACAGTGCTTTTAAATTATTAAAATGTCAACTTTCTCCAAACATTGACAAAAGTAATATGAAGTGGAAAGGTCTTGCAGTAGATGAACACCAATATCAAAATGAACAAGAATTCTCAGACCAAAAAATAAAAAAATAAAAAAAAATAATTCTCAGCCCAATCCCAAGGCAGGGGGCAGAAGAAATAGGATTTGGACAGTCTCATTTGGAGGGGAGGATTCCGAGATCCATCTGAGCCATAGGAAGGTCAGGCAGTCCAGCACATGTTTGTTTATAAATGTAACAATTAGTGTCACCATCTGGTAAATGCTATGATAAACAAAGACTTCATTTAAAAATATTATTTTGAAAACTGTCTTGGAAGAAAGAATGCTAGACAAACTTGATTCAAACAAAACTAAAATTCTGATGTTCTGAGTGAGAAGAAATTATTAGACTCACTATCCAGGATGGTGCCAGGGAGTGCTGGATGGACAAGAAACAACAGTGTCTTAGAGCAGCTGTTCATGCCTCCTGTGCACCTGCTCTTGGGCTAACCCCATGCTGTGTCCTGAGCACCCCCTGCTGGTTATGTGCACCCCTGCAGGGAGGTTTAGGTGAGGGCTCAAACTAACATTCCCTCACTGTGTCTCTTGCACAGTGATACACGGCTGTGTCTTCAGAGACCACAGAGTTCATTTGTACAGAGAACTGGTTCTTGGATGTGTCTTTGGTGATGGTCACTCTGCTCTTTAGGGACAGGCTGTAGTAAGTGCTGCCAGAAGCACATATGGCTCCCACCCACTCCAGGCCCTTCCCTGAGGCCTGGCGGACCCAGTGCCAGCAGTAACCACTGGTTGTAATAGAGAATCCAGACACGGTGCAGGTGAGGGACAGGGTGTGCGAAGGTTTCACCAAGTCAGGCCCTGATTCCTGCAGCTGCACCTGGGACAGGACACCTGTGGACAAACAGAATCAGTCACTTTCAGTTACCTACAGGAAATGCCCTCTGCGTGGACCAATGTCTGACATCAGGAACACTCACCTTGGGGAGTTGTCACCAAGCACAGAAGAAAACTCAGCAGTCTCATCTTCCAGACCACACCTTTGCCTTCTCTAGAGACCTTGAGCATCATCTATGAGAAAGCTGTGAGCTCCTATGAACCAAGCAGGGAATTTGAACCCACAGTTTGAATAACAATTTGCATACGAAGATTCTTTTTATAGATGGGGAACAATGAGAACAGGTTGCTCTGGGTCCTTCTGTGTCCTGTGAGAAAAATTCTTTTATATATAAATCCATCTAAATCTATTACAAGAGATCATATCTTCTAAATGAGGTGTTGGAAATCTGTCATAGGATGGCTCCATCTTCCTGAGCCTAGAATCCCTTTCTGACAAGATACTTTTTCTTCCTGAACCTCAACTTGGCTCTCTTTATCCACTCAGGCTCTGGTCCTTGCATCCTGAGTGCTGATCCAAGCACAGCTTCTACCTTCTCTCTGTCCTCTACCCTGTCATGTGGGTCTCATTTCCACTGAGAGCTACTTATTTTGTCACATTGCTGTTGTAACAAAAAGTTCAGGCTGCCTCCTGCTCTAACCGATCCAAGACACAACTTTTCCAAATAGAACAGAGACTGGTTAAAATGATGTGAGCCTTGTGTTTCAAAGATGATTCAAAGAATTTTGGGAAGAGAAAGAGGCAATCTATTTAAAACCCCCATTCCACAGATGACACTGGTGTGTGTAATAACTATTCACTTGTTTTTTAAGCTCAACTTCACCTCATGTTGCAGAGATTATATCTCTAAATTTAAATCCTTCACCACATCATAGACATATTTTTGGAAAATCATTCAGAGCTGTTACCATGTCTACATTGATGATGTGCTTAATACCAACCTTCATACACAGTAATAAGGTTCTGACCCCATTCCTCCACCAAGTTAAACTTAGAAACATCTCTAGACCACTTGCCTACTTCTGCTCTTATTATGTGTGCAGCCCCTTTTGATTCTCTGCTTTGACCTCATGAGGGTTGTTGTAAAGCTTGATGAAATCTTTCCTTCCCCATGGAAGGGGGTGATTGTAACCATTTAGTCAATGCTTTGCTAGCAAAAGTAAAATATGAAGCATAACTAAATGGTTTGGAAAAAAGCATTTACTGTTTACAATTGGACAATTTCTGAATCATATTGCAGTAGTTTTCCCTTTATGCATATGTGTCTCTATGGGAACCTATAATCATCCTTTTCAGGACAATACCCAGGACACTGTACATGTCACAGCATTATAACCTGCTCAGAGATCAGTGGACATAATAGATGACTTTGTATTTCTTTATTTTGTTGACCTTGTATTTCTTTTTTTTTTTTTGGTACTGGGTATTGAACTTGGGATTTGTGCTTGTGAGGCA